GTACCTCTCCGGCGGGAAGGTAAATGCAGTTTTTGTGCACTCTGGCACTCGTCGTGCTGTTTCCATGCACTCTGGCACCAGCAGTTTCATCATGCTGGCCACATGACCTGGAAAAGCTGTCTGCAGACAAACACCGGTCTGAAAAGTGAGATGAGTGCTGCACCCCCTAGTCGCCTTTGACTGGACTTAACTGCCCAGGGTTCCTTTACCTTTTACGTTTTTACCTTAACACTGTACAATAACATCTGAAGAGAGATGGTTATTTACTGTAATAAATGAGCCACTCTAAGTCTCAGTTGCACCCCACTCTGATGATTTCAAATTTCCAAATGAATTTTGTACTGGTTAGAAGCTAGAACAGACTATACTGCCTTGAGTTTAGTGAGACAATAGGCCAGAGGTAGAGAACCTTTGGTCTTCCAGATGTTGCCGGACCACAAGTCCCATCATCCCTGACCAGTGGCCCTGCTGGCTGGGGCTGAGGGGAGTTGGTCCAGCAATATCTTGAGAGCCAGCAGTCCTACCATGCACTACAGGCATGCTGGGATGCTCCTCTCAAACTGCATGTCGTAAGTGCTTAGGGGTAGCAACAACACTGCAAAGCTGTGCTAGAAGTACTGATCAATAGGAGCCTCTAGGAGACACTCTTATTTCATCCTAGAGAAAGTGAAGGAACACCCACAAACATTTAGAGAAACATGAAAAACCTTCCTGTTTTACAGGCATTTAATTGGTGTTTTTTTCAAGGACCATCTCCATCTGGATATTTCAGAGAACAGGTGGATCACCTTCAGTCTGCGAGGGGATCATCTTATGCACCTCTCCTAGAGCACCTTTCTTCCTGTAGGTGTGTGAGTGTGGGTAGCCTATTGCACAAGGGTAAAATGTTCATTTATTGCTCCACCTACATATGCCTCTGGACCCACCAACCTCTGACATGTGGCCCCTGGAAAGTTACCCTCAAGGGAATATGGGCCCCGGGCTGAAAAACATTCCCAGCCCCTGCCCAATAGGAACATGGGAAGCTTCCTCTTAGTGAGTCAAACCATCTGATGGTTGGCGGTTTGAATCCCTGCGACGGGGTGAGCTCCTGTTGCTTGGTCCCTGCTCCTGCCAACCTAGCAGTTCGAAAGGATGCCAAAAGTGCAAGTAGATAAATAGGTACCACTCTGGTGGGAAGGTAATCACACTGCTCTGGTTGTACCAGAAGCGGCTTAGTCATGCTGGCCACATGACCCTGAAAAAGTGTCTGTGGACAAATGCCGGCTCCCTCGGCCTGTAAAGCGAGATGAGTGCCGCATCCTTAGAGTTGTCTGCAACTGGACTTAACTGTCAGGGGTCCTTTACTCTTTTCTCAACCTTGGTTCCTCAGATGCTGCTGGACTACAACTCCCATCATCCCTGACCACTGGTCCTGTTAGCTAAGGATGATGGGAGTTGTAGTCCATCAATATCTGGGGAACCAAGGTTGAGAAAGGCTGTTTTAAACTGCCCAGGCTATCAGACCAGGGAGTCTTTCCCGGCTCAACCTGGAGCTGCCGCGGATTGAACCTGAGACCTTCTGCATGCCGTGCATGTGGATTGAGTGACATAGCAGCCCTTTCTCTTCTTTGGATGGTTTTAACATGGCTGCTGGGAGGACAGGGGCAAAGGAGACCCCGAAGCAACATCACCGCCAGCATTGCAAATTAGCAATTTCTCAAAACCAATGTTTCTCAAACTTTGGTCCCCAGCTGTTTTCGGCTTAGAGCTCCCATCATCCCTAGCTAGCAGGACCAGTGGTCAGGAATGATGAGAACTGTAGCCCCAAAACAGCTGGAGACCCACGTTTGGGAAACACTGCTCTAAACTCTGTTTAATGCAGCAGTAAAGGTAAAGGTAAAGGGACCCCTGACCATTAGGTCCAGTCGTGACCGACTCTGGGGTTGCAGCGCTCATCTCGCTTTATTGGCCAAGGGAGCCGGCATACAGCTTCCGGGTCATGTGGCCAGCATGACTAAGCCGCTTCTGGCGAACCAGAGCAGCACACGGAAACGCTGTTTACCTTCCCACCGGAGTGGTACCTATTTATCTACTTGCATTTTGACGTGCTTTTGAACTGCTAGGTTGGCAAGAGCAGGGACCGAGCAACGGGAGATCACCCCGTCACGGGGATTCAAACCGTCGACCTTCTGATCGGCAAGTCCTAGGCTCTGTGGTTTAACCCACAGCGCCACCAGTGCCCCTTTTAATGCAGCAAGGACTTTGCAATAATTGCCTCATTCATCCAGACAGAAATGCGGTGAAGCAGGTCACTAACTGCAGGTGGTGCAACAGAGAGGAGAGAATGGTTTGTCCAAGATTGTCCAGAGAATTCCTGCCTGTCTGAGCAATCTTGTCAGTCCACAATATCCAATACAAGCCATGGCCCTATGATTGTGGATGCACTGAAAAGCCTGGAAGGAAGTGTCAATGTGTCCATTTGCCCACTCCCCAAACCAGCCATCTACTGCACTCAATGGCCTGCTAGGCCCAGGTCCTTCCCCCTCTACTGCCTGCCAGTTGCCATACGTGCATCCATGTCATTCCCAATGCCTTCTTTGGACTGGGATTGTGGGGATTGGATGTGCACATGAAAACCCGAAGTAAGGGAAGGTTTGCTTCCATCATGGGCTGAGCGAGCCCCGTTCCCTCAGAAGGCTTGGCATCACCAGTGGAGAACAAGGATGAAGTCAGGAATTATCCCAGCACCATTCGGATCACCGTGCTATTTCTGTTCCAGGTATTGCCCCAGGACAATAATTTAATAATAATAATTTTATTATTTGTATCCTGACCCATCGGACTGGGTTGCCCCAGCCACTCTGGGCAGCTCCCAACATATACAAAAACATAATAAAACATTACACATTAAACCCTATGCAAGGCTGCCTTCAGATGTCTTCTAAAAGTTATATAGTTACTCATCTCCTTGACGTCTGGTGGGAGGGCATTCCACAGGGTGGGTGCCGCTACCGAAAAGGCCCTCTGCCTGGTTCCCTGTACTGCGCAAAACTTTTGCTAGGATGCTTCGAGAGCGTCATGGGACTGTATAGAAGTATTTTAAATAAATTTAAATTCCTTGGTTCCACATGTATCTATTGGTTCTACAGTGGTACCTCGGGTTAAGTACTTAATTCGTTCTGGAGGTCCGTTCTTAACCTGAAACTGTTCTTAACCTGAGGTACCACTTTAGCTAATGGGGTCTCCTGCTGCTGTCGTGCCACTGGAGCACGATTTCTGTTCTCATCCTGAAGCAAAGTTCTTAACCCGAGGTACTATTTCTGGATTAGCGGAGTCTGTAACCTGAAGCGTATGTGACCTGAGGTACCACTGTATTTCTGTCACACTCTTTTCCCAAGGAACTTGGACCAGCACACCTGGATCCTGAGGATACAGGGAGAGAACCCTGCCTGATACCTTGAACAGCCACCGCCAGGCGACATAGACAATACTGAGTGAGATGAATAGTTGATCTGTCTCGGTAAAAAGCAGATTCCTGAGTGCATGCTTTGTAGGCAAAAAGTCTCAGGTTCAATCAATCCCTGTCACCACCAGGAAGGGCTGGGGAAAGTCTGGAAGTCTGGGGAAGCAAGATCCTGTTTTATATAACAGTGTAATCAAATGGAAATAAGTTGTCAAATTCTTTTAAAAGCAACCGAATCATGCAGAGCCGCTGCCAGTCAGTGTATGATGTAGATCACATGGAGGTAAACAGACGCTTGTGACCTGGTTCAGCAAAAGGCAGAATGCTGTGTCCTTACAGCCGTCTGCCACCAACACCCCATTTTTATCCTCACAACAACCCTGTGAGGCAGGTCAGGCTGCAAGATGGTGACTTGCAGCACTCTGCAGGGCTAAGTAGAGATCAGAGCCTGGGATCTCCTCAGTCCTAAGCCAGCACTCTAGCCGCAACAAGAAGCCATCTCCTGCAGAAGAGCGGATACATGGCTGGGTGTTGCCAGTGCCTCCCCATACAGAGAGGACTGCTCCCGGCTGCATTTCTGCCTCATACTCACCCACAGACATACAGAAAACACCACTGCAGATGGCACCTGGTGGATAGAGAGGAAGCAGAGGGAGGTGATGGTGGAAAGAAGTGAACATGACAAAGGAGTGTAGAAGTCATAGAATCATAAACTTGTAGAGTTGGAAGGGACCTGAGGGTCATCTAGTCCTACCCCCTGCAAGGCAGGAATTTTTTGCCCAACATGGGGCTCGAACCCACAACCCTGAGAGTCTCATGCTCTACCGACTGAGCTATCCCTGAGATTCTGCCCAGCAAGTGGTGGATATCTGAAATCTCCTGAAGCACTGTGAGTGGGGGGGCGGGCGGTCTGGGACTATGTGACCTTCCTGCTCCCTTTGGATGAAGCAAGCCGGATGAGCAAGCAATGACTTTCTGCAACTGGGAGGGTGTTCTGCCGCCATGAACACCGCTGCGGATGGCACCTGCTGTAGATAGAGAGGGAGGAGACAGAGCAGAGGAAGGGTGACGATGGAAAGGAGGGAAGGTGACAGAGGAGTGCAGAAGTCAAAAGAAGGAAAAGGAGAGAGGCAAACAACCTATCACATGCATGGGGCAGGTGGGTTCTAGATTCACTGAAGATCATCAGTGGAGCAACTCGGCACTGGGAGAGTCAAAACCAGGAGCAGCCAAACTTCCTTCCATGAGATGGTCTCACTTCCCAGAGTGGAGCATGGGGTGCAGAGAGGGGCTGTGCCTCCCGCTGACGTCAATCAGCCTCTCCCTAGACGAGGCAAGCGAAGCGGGGTTTCACTACTGCGTTGCGCGGCCGGCTCCTCCTGTGGACGCGAGCAGGAGAGAGAGAGACAGAGAGAGAGAGAGGCGGGGAGCCCGCCAGGATGGGCGACAGAGAGCAAGCCTTTCTGGGCGTCCGGTGAAGGAGCCTCCTCCGAGCCCATTGCAGCGGGAATGACCTCTCAAGGGTGCCCCCTGGTGGCGGTCCAGCGATGCCATCGTACAACCCCGGATGCTTTTTGGGGTAAGGGCTTTCTGATACGGGGGTTGGACAGACCCAGAAAGCCCAGACCGCAAAAAGACCCAGGGAAGACCTTTTCCTTTCCGTTTCCTCCCCTTCAGTTGCACGGTAGGGAAGAGCAGCTTCTGCCTGATGGTCTCTCCAGCCTCGGATCTCCGGCATCCACCTGTTGCTCTTGGAATGCCATCTCCGCCTATATGGGGCTGCCTGCTGCCTCCCTCTTTTCTGCTGACCTCGCTGGTGGCTCGGACACTCCCTTAGCGCTGCCTGCGCCCCGACTGCAGCGCTCCCTCTCTCTCGCTTCTCCTGCCTCAGCCTTGGCTCCGCAGGCTAGGAAGGTTCTCGCTTCCTCCCTGCAGTTCTTCCGAAGCCTCTCTCGCGGGGCTGGCAGCCGGGGCTTGCACACACCGTCCCTGGGTCCCACCCAGACTCCCCGCCCCTTTCTCTAGGAGATGCCCCCACCCCCCGCCGCCTTCCTCCCATCCTTCCTTCCTGGGGAGCTCCCTGCTTCTGCCACCCACGCAGCCAGCCACCGTCTATCTGCTGTAGGTGGGGGAATCTCTCGCCATCGAGTCTCTCTCGCCCTCACCCCACCCGCCCAAAACAAAACGGGGGGGGGGGCGCTTTCAAGCTCAGCTCCTTACCCTGCCCCGCCCCCAGCCTCTGCAGAAGCCCAGGGCCAAGCCCTTTTCAAAAGCTTCCGATTAACCTCTTCCCAGTCTCCTCTCTTAAGATTTTAGGATGCCTTCCTCTTCCTCAACGCAGCCAAAACCTCATCGGATGGATGGATCACCCCTCCCATAGTTCCCGTTCAACGCTTACTTTTCTACCTTCTCCAAGTGGCGGTGTGCCAGGTAAGGAGATGGGCTCCTTGAGCGAGTGCCCTTCCATCCCACCACTGGATGGGGCTGAGACTTTACAGGAAAGGCTCGATTCTACCTGGTAAAACTCCTAACTGACTAGCAGCGGCTGCGCATAGATGTAAAATAAGAATGATTTGGAAAACACTGAAATGAGCCACACATCTAGAAATGGGCACCAGTGTCCAGCGTTTGTGGGCATGTTTGTGCAAGCACACACATGCACCCAGAGCCCCAAACATACCATCTTCTTTACAGAACCCTACCTTGTCACACACCCAGACTATGTACTATGTATATATATATATATATATATATATATATATATATATAAATCTTCCCCTGCTTGCCCTCCCTCCCTCTGTCTCTCTTTCTCTCATGTATACACCATACCTTTCATTCACATACATACAGGCCAAGGCACACATCCAGACATGCACACATATTTTCATACCATAGGCACACACGTGCAACACTTCATCAGTGTGAATATAGAAACATATTCCATACTGGCAAGCCTTTCTGCAAGAAGCTTGTGACTTTCACTCTCTCTCACACACACACAACACACACACACACACTTTTATACTTAAGGCTGCTTCGGATTAGACAGTTTTTCTACATAGAAAGCACATGCGCAGGAAAGAGTGTGCAAACTGTGTGTTGATTATTGCGTGCGATGATTGCACACATGCCTGTTGTAGGGTACAAACAGTGGGAAGCCACAGCCAACTGTGGCTTCTGAGCCTACAGATAAAACAAAAAACTGGTGAATGAGCAATCCCCACATGCAGGCTGATCTATACATGGTTTGCATGTTCTTTCTGACATGTGTTTTCCATACAGAAAATCTGTCAAGTCAGAAGTTGACCCTCAAAGGGTGACACACACCTAGGCATACATCCTGCGCATTTTGCTCAAGTGCACACGTTCACACAACCAAACATCCTGGGATGTTTGCATGCGTTAACACTCATGCACAATTCCACACATCTCTACCCCAACATGCAAATCCAGAGGAGCATATATTATTGGCTAGACAGGGAATCAAGCTCTCCACCCCAACAGCATACAGTCTTGTAAATAATGTCAAAACATGCACACACCCAAATCAGAGCTCTTAGAATGTTGAAACAAAAACAAAAAAAGGAGAGGGCTCGCACACTGGGCACAGGGGAGCAAAAATGTACAGAAACAACTGTGGCCAACGATGCATATCATGCCTGCCTCCCCCCTTCCGGAACCAGCCATTGCCTCTCTCTCTCCTTCTCCTGCAAAACCAAAACACTAACACACTCTTTGTTTTTTTCCTGACACAGTCCTCCCTCCTTCTGCCTCCTTTTATCTCTGTGTTATATGTATGCACACATAAACACAACTGTCATGTTTCATCCCCAGTCCAGCGTGTCCAAAAAAACCATCACATCCCTGTGCCACCCGGTACTCTCTGATCTCCTCTGGTACATTTCCAGTTTCCCACCACCATTCCCAAATTCCTCCTCTTCCTCTTCCTCCTCCACCGCCACTGCCCCATCATCCCCAGCCCCCTAACCTTGTCTAGATATCCCTAGAAGGGCAGGTCTACGGTGATACTCCAAAGATTCCCTTTCCACCCCGACCTCCGTCTCCGTCTTTCCCTGTCTATTCCCCGTTGGGCAGAAGCTCACCTTCTCCATCGGGGCGCCCCAGAGGGTAGGAAGGCAGAAGCTGTCAATTTGGGAGAGAAGGGTAGGGGAACTGTCCAGATCGCGGAGCTGCAGAGACTGCCGAGTCCCGCCCGAGACTCCGGCAGGCGAGTCACGAATCGGGGAAGGGAACTCCGGGCCCGAGCGTGACGCATCTGCCAGGCAGTCACGAAGCGCCGCTGATTGGGGAGGGAAGAGGAGCCCTGGGGGGAGCGCAGGGCGCACTGGCGCTAGAGAAGGGAGGGCCGGCAGGTGGTGCTGGGAGGGACAGCGCCTTAGGTACCATCAGCACCATGGACAGTTCCTCGTGGATGCAAAAGCTGCTTTCAGCACCTGGGACAGCTGCCCTGGCGGATGAGAAAGGACAGGCAAACTCCAGGGTCATGCCAATCGGAGTCCCTTTGTCGGAGAAGGGGCGGTGGAGGCATCGAGGGGTGCATATGAAAAATGTCATGAGCTGGTGGACTGCAGCTAATCTGCATGATATTAGCATAATGTGCATATCATTTTTATGATCCTGGACGATACCAATCAACTACTGGTGGACACGCTGCACATATTCCTACCGTATCCTTTATCTGAAATTCTTTCCTGCTTTTTTAAAAGATTCAGTCCTTGGAAAATGCTGACAAGATTGGGGGGGGGTTGTTTTACAATGCAATGAATCTGGCTTCTTTACTAATATTATTTCCCCCCACTAAGATACTGTAGCTGTTTATTTTTTATTTTTTTAATCCTGTTTTCAGCTGCATCTCAGTGACCACAGAACTGGAAACTTACTTTTGTTGTTTTTGGTTTTAAATAAAACAAGGGTTTCAAAGCATTTAGGGCTGCAATCCTATGTGCACTTACCAGGGAGTAAACACCATTGAATCCAATGTGACTTACCTCTGAGTAAAAATGCATAGGACATACAATCCTTCTTAGAAATAAACCCCACTGAGTTCAACACGACTTGCTCCCAAGTAAATGTGCGTATAGGATTGCTGCCTAAGTGATTAAACAAATGATTTTCAGAGAACTGTGAGGCACATGACACATATTTTGGCATTCCAGCTTGGCATTGGTTCATGGGACAGTGCAGTGTTTTATCCTCAACCCCAGGACAATAATGGCTCAGTTTATCAATGAGAGGTGCTGGGAATCATTCCCGTTTGGAAACAAGTATACTTAGTGACATACAGATGCCACCAAAGTCCTTAATCCTATATATCTCCTATTGAGATATGCAGCACTGTTTCCTCTTGCTCCTGTGAATATATTTATAGAATAATAGTAGAATTGGAAGGGACCACGAGGGTCATCTAGTTCACCCCCTGAAATGGAAGAATGTTTTGCCCAACATGGGGCTTGAACCCAGGACCCTGAGATTAAGAGTCTCATGCTCTACTGCTGAACTATCTCAGGATTTCTAGGCATTACAAAAAGCAACAGAACAACTCAACACTATACAAAATGCTCTATGTTCTGATTCTTAATATACTCATACCTTCAGTCAGTGAGATGTGCAGACTTTGTTGCCTCATCTTTAATGAGTTATGGAACAAGAAGAATAATTTAGTCATTGGAACTGTAGTGGGGGGGCGGGGGGAGAGAATTGGATCCTCTTTGCTTCAAAACCAAAATTTCCACAAAGCATGTTTGTTAAAGATAACCTGTTCAGAGATGCCACCTTCACAAGATAACTTACTTCTTGCTAAGGTTGAGCCAAAGTTACTAATTGAGCTAAAAAATTGACTTAAGACTTGAATCCATATCTCTCTCCAAAGTTGTATTTCAACACATCATCCACTAAGTCATGCCAAACCATCATGCCAAATATAACATCAGCATGGATTTCTCAGGCACTGTCTCTGAAGAGCACCCCAGATTCCTGCTGCCTGGATCTATATGATTTTCCTTTAGATTTGTATCTCATCCCAGAAAACCTCAAGGTGATCTATGAAAGTTATGCCATACTATCCTCACAACAGCAGGGCACCCTTAGGAACTGAGACACTGACTTGCCCAGAATGAATGAATGGCAATGAATGCCATTGCTATGTCAGGATCTGAACCCAGGTCTCCCCAGTCCAACATAACCACTACATCATACTAACCCTCCTTTACAGATTTGTCCCTTGCAAAATCCACTTGGATCTTTCATTGCACATGTGCACCTTCATTTCCAGAGCAACACTAGAATTAAGATAGTATTTCTGTGGGAATTGGCTGTTGTGGTAGGTCCAGGTCAGCTAAAACCACTCTGTCACAGGATCCAAGAAATGTTCTTTAAAAGACTTTCCAAGACAACCAAGAAGTCTAGGTCATCATTCTTGACTTTGCCAACCCTCCAAAGTCACTATGACACTGAAAGAGGCATGTTTCTCGAGCTACCATTGCCATCCCTAAAACTATTGCTCTGTATTTTGCTTGCTTCTTATCTAATAGTGCTGGGATACTTACAACCAGCCTTGTTTCACATTTCTACCTACAGTATTTTGCTTGATTTAGGGGAGTAAGCTCTGCTGGGTGTATGTCCATCAGAGT